TGTCAGAAGACTACGTGCATGCTCCTCCTCTTAGCAAACATCCGACACAAACTTTTATTGTTTTGTTGTTTTGTTTTTTTTAAGCCGACTTTTAAGACCTGCTGGTCCGTTGAAATAGTTTTAGTCATGTTTACACTCTAACCCACCACACGTGGTCATTTACTGTCATCTGAACTAAATCAAGCTGACAACGGACGCACCGGTCGACTGAAATCACAAATTAAAACACGTTTTTATTCTGCTTGGGAACAACTTTCCGTATTTTTTTTTTTTTTTTTTTTTAAACATCCATTTTGTTTATTTTCTACTTGTATGTCGGAGCGTACGTTTAGCCGCTGAAGTCGCCGGACCGTCAAGGTCAAACCCGTCGACGCACATCCTGGTGTCTGAAAGAAATCTTGTGCGGTTTCTGTTTGGAGTTTGTTGAGGAGAAATGTTGTGGCACATCATTTAAGAGCTGATTTGTTTCATTCTCCGTATCCATGACAACCAGACCGAAGACTCAGTGTAAAACTGTAAAAGGTGGTTTTTACCTTCGTGGTCTGATGCCACCGGCAGATGTAACATGTGCAGTATTTCTTTTGGCGTTTTGTTTTTATTTTCTGAGGAGGAAACGAATATTGCACTAAAGTATTGGTGGTGAAAAGAAGTAGAGTAACAGATTAGAGCATCTTGATGTGTGAAGTGATTTGTTTTGTACAATAAGAGCAGAAAGATGTGAAGACATGAAGCTGTTGGCTGTAGGATCTGTTCAGCTGGATTCTCTCCAGATGATTTTAAAGGAAGCGCACAGTATTCTACAAACACTGATCGTTTTATCATAATGGAGGTTCACGCTGTGGTACTCCCCTCCCCCCCCCATTTTAAACCTCAAATTATTTCTTTATAACATGAAAGTCAGTTTCTGTAACATTTAGGTGAACAAAACTGACAGAAACTGGTCATGAAGCTTTATTTTCCATCAGTTTGATTAGTTTTGTTCCCTCAGAGTGACCAGTGTGTTTCTACAGAGTGCTTCTAGTTCTCACACTCCACTGTATCACCCCCCCGAGTGTTTTAAATGAACCTGGAACTGACAAACCAAAACCGTATCTGAAGGAGACCTTAAAGATGTTTTTGGACGTTTGTCTGCAATATGCTGTTCAGCCACTAGATGTCACCAAATCCTCCAAAAAAAGCACATTGGAATTAGGCCTGTCACAATAAACAATAAATCAATTAATCGCATGATAAATAAAAATTATCAACCTCATTTTCATTTATCGGCTTTATTGTTTCTTCATGTCTCTCTTTCTACTGAAGACACTGGATGACAAAAGGCTCAAGTCCGGTGCTCCTCACTGACCCCTCACTTCCTCTTTTTTCTCTTTAAAATCCGTTTCAATGATCCAAAAATGCGTTTTTGATCATTGAAAGCAGCTAACCTGAGAAGCTAAGCTACGAGCTAAGCTAACAGGCCGACGTCGGGGATAAAAACCTCCGTCTTGTCGAAGCTCCAAAATTCACAGTTGAAACCCGTGCCTTCTCTGCAAAAAAGTTGAGAACTTGTTTACTGATTTTTTTTAAATTAAAAGCTTTATTTGACAAATGCTATGCTAAAGAGCTCAAACCACTCAGAGCCATTTTGAGAACTGAAAAATAGAAGCGACAGAGCCCATGTCACGTCAAGGGGCCTCCCTCCCATTTATCTTAGAGACACGCTGCTCACTCCCTCACTATCCATCCTTTGGCTTATACAGGCTTATACTGCTATCCGGTGGTCAAAAATGGTACTACACCCAAAACAAATCAACCAACATTTCTTCTTAAATTTGACAATAATTACTAATTATTGTCAAATTTCAAACAATATTATCGTTTATCGCAATAATTTCTGGAACAATTAATCGCCCAGCAAAATCTGTTATTGTGACGGGCCTAATTGGAATTTCTGCCAAAAACAAGAGGCTCAAAACAAACTATCCGTTAAATCAAACTTGGATAAATTAATCAGCTTTAGTGTTGAATATTGTGATATCAGCTGCAATAAATCCAGTTTTCGTCATCAAACCTTCACACGGCTCTTCATTCAGAGGAGCGGGAGTCCATCTGATTACCAGATTTATGTGTGGCAGTAATTTGCAATACGGTAGTCCCTCGCTACTTCGCAGTTCGACGTTCGCAGACTCGCTCTTCCACGGTTTTTCAAAGTAAGAGTGGGCATGACACACAATTGGCTTATTGATGGATGAGCCGCACGAGCGGCATGGATTGTTTATTTAAAATAAATAATTTTGAATGATTTAGCACCTGCTAACTCATTAGGTGCAGGGAGAAGCTCCTCCTGCAGCTTGTCATGATCTCCACTCTGCCACCTGCGGCTCTCTGCCACACCCACATTTCTCCTCCGGCTGAAGCAGCTTTGTGAAGTGTTAACCCTTTGCTGTCCTGCTGCGCTTCTCTACAACTTAAACTTAAAACAGTATTTAAATTTAAATTGTTTATTTACACTGAAGGAGGGAAATTGGAGTGGAACTTGGACTACTGTATCCCTACTTTACGGTTTTCGCTTATCGCAGGGGGTAGACCTGTCGCGATAAACACTAAATCAATTAACCGCACGATAAATGAAAATTATCAACCTCGTTTTCATTTATCGGCTTTATCGTTTCTTTGTGTCTCTCTCTTTCTACTGAAGACGTGGCTCAACTCCGGTACTCTTCACTGACCCCTCCATTTCTCTTTATAATTTGTTTTAACCGTCCAAAATCGCGTTCTTGGATCGTTAAAAGCAGCTAAACTGAGAAGCTAAGCTAACGGCCCATCCTCGGGAATAAACCTCCGTCTTGTCGAGCTCCAAATTTCACAGTTGAAACTCGTGCCTTTGTGTAAAAAGTTGTTTCTCTGCAAAAAGAAGCTGAGAACTTAAAAAAAAACCCAAAAAGGTCCATGCTCAATAATCCAGGTATATAATCCAACATTTTTCAGTCAGGTCATCTGGAGAGTTTCTTTTTTTTTTTTCCTGAAATATTTCACCTTCCATCCAGAAGACTTCATCAGTCAAGGAAACACACAACACAAAACTGATTCTCCCCACAAACAGCTTACTCCAAAGTGTAACAAACCAGTTATGTTGGTGCTAAGATGGTGTCTTTGGCACGCCCCCTCCTCCGCCCCAAGCTGAGAACTTGTTTACTGAATTTTTTTAATTAAAAGCTTTGTGTGAAAAATGCGACGACAAAGAGCTCAAACCACCAAGCGTCCGCCATGTCACCATGTCCCGTCAAGGGCCCTCCCTCCCATTTTTCTTAGAGACGCTGCTCAACTATCCATCCTTTGGGTCAAACAATCTTATACTGCCATCAGGTGGTCAAAAAAGGTACTACACACCAAACAATTCAACATTTCTTCTAAAATTTGACGATTATTAAATTTCAAACAATATTATCGTTTATCGTAATAATTTCTGAGATAATTAATCGCCCAGAAAAATTTATCGTGACAGGCCTAGCGGGGGGCGTGGTCCCCTAACCCCCTGTGATAAACGAGGGACTACTGTATTGATGTTACACACGCTGATATTGTAAAACTGATATTTTGATATGTTGTGCAGCCGTAACGCACAGATTTAAAAACATTTTTTTTAATTTTTGCGTGCTTCTTTTCTGCAGAGGCGCCACTCGGGCAAAACTTGACAACATGACATGATTTTTATCTTGGTGGCCTGCCTACGTTTGTCTGCAGCGAGTAGATAAAGACGCTGTTGCTGCTCGCATCAGAAAGTCAGATCTTCACACGGTGACTTTTCTGCTGCTGTTCTCACATCTGTGTGAACATCTGTGTGAAGTCGTTTTTGTAAATACAGTATTAGGGCTACAAAAGGGAAGGAACTTGCCATCTTTAATTAAAAAAATAATAATTTGCAGAACTTTTGCTTTCGGTTGATGTTGAGTGAAGAGAAACAAATCGATGTGACGGTTTTTCTTTTTCCTTTAAAATTTTTTGGGACCTTTTTTTTTTTTTTTTTACGATTATTTTTTCAAACCAAGTGGAAATGCTACATGAGAAAGCTGTAATGTAATTTAATGTGTTTGCATAATTTCCATATGCATCCTCAGCAACCGTCCGCTCGGACACAACGATGGCTTTGGTTAATGTTTTCCTGATTTCTTGTTGAACTTTATGCACATCTAAAAACTGTAAACCTCTAAGAACCAAATCTTAAATTAAGGATTGTTGTGATGAACTGATGTTTCTCAGCACCGTGTTCTTATTTTTCTAAGAAATCTGTTTTTTTAATGGTTTCAATTTACAGAACTCTTCTTTATTTTTTTTTAAGAGAACATTTTGATGCACTCCAACAGAAGCCCGGTGGATTTAGTTTGAGCGTTGTTGAAGGTTTTTATTTTTTGTCACACCCAGAACCTGTTTTCTAACCTGTAGTGGTTATGTTGTTGTTTTCCTGCACACCGGTTTGTTCCTCTGCACAATGTTCTGTTCGTTTCCAGAAGTTTTCCCTCACACTGAACATGACATAAAAATCTAGAATAAAGATAGTTTGTTATAATTTGTTGCGTTTTTTGTTTTTTTTCTCTTATTATTCTTAATGCACGACTTGTGG